GCGTTTGGGTACCTTCCTACCGACCCCTCAGAGAATTGCTGACGCAGGAAGTCCACGACTCCAACCTCTCCGGGCATTTCGGCATCGACAAAACGTTGAAGTTGCTGCAGCGGAATTATTTCTGGCCCGACATGGCGTCGGACGTGCAGCGCTACGTGTCCGCCTGCCCGACCTGCCAAGCAATGAAATCATCACGCCAACGCCCAGCTGGATTGCTGCAGCCCCTCGAGCCACCCGAACGACCATGGCAACAGGTGATGATGGACTTCGTCACGGGACTACCAGCTGGCGCAAGTGGCAACGACTCCGTGCTCGTGGTCGTCGATCGCTTAACGAAAATGGCGCATTTCGCACCATGTCGCACGACGATCACAGCCGAAGAAACAGCAAAACTATTCATCGCAACCGTCGTACGACAGCACGGGTTACCTTCGGCGATCATCAGCGACCGCGACCCGAAATTCACGTCGAAGTTCTGGCAGGAGACATGGGCACAGTACGGCACCCGCCTGCAGTTTTCGTCGTCATATCACCCGCAGACCGACGGCCAGACAGAGAGGACAAACCAGACGATGGAGCAGTTAATCCGTACAAACTGCCCCGACATTACCAAGTGGGAAGATTCACTTCCTATGCTCGATTCGCGTACAACAATGCCCCATCTGCGACGACCAATCAGTCACCGTTCTACCTCAATTACGGGATAGATCCGGTGGTACCCTCATCGACGACCCCTGAAAATCCGGTACCACGATCGCAGCAGTTCGTCTCGGAACTTCAAGCGGCACGCGACAAAGCAGCGGAATTTATCCGAAAGGCTAATACAGCCGCCAGCCGCTACGCTGACCGACATCGACGGAATTTACCCTTCCCTGACGGGCAAATGGTCCTTCTAGACACGAAGAACCTCAAACTGCCCCAGCCCGCAAAATTGCGTCCCCGCTACGTGGGACCTTTTCGCATCATTCGGATGCTGACACCGGTCACGGCGAAACTTCTTCTACCGGACGACTGGAAGATCCACGACGCCTTCCACGTCAGCCTCCTCCGCCACTACGTGGCTCCGCAGCCGTCCGACGTCGCGCGACCCAACCTGGCGCCAAGTGTCCGACCTGTGGCAGATCCGACACTGCAACCTTGGAAGATCTTGAATCATCGCATCCGTGCGACCCCCGCTGGACGCCACGTTGACTTCCTGCTACGCTGGGTGGATCGCACAAGCGAAGATGACACGTGGGTCCCCGCTGACTCACTCGACGGGAACTCGGTCCTTCGGGATTATCTCTCCCGCCGACGCGTGCCTGATGTTGACCACCTTTCTTAAGGGGGGGGGTAGTGTAAGGAATTTCGCTAATTCCTTACTGAGGCTGTTCTTACGCGTACAATTCCAACCTTCGGAATTCAGGCTCGGTCCGACGACCTCGCCTTCCGAACGTCAACCGCGTCGCCTTCGGGTTTCCCAACCCCAAACCTGCACCCAACCTTCGCGCGACTCCGCGACCTCGGCCTAGCTAGCTTTGCTATATTGTGCCTAGGCCTCGTTGTTCGATCAGTAGTTGTAATCACTTCCGCGATATTGCATTCTGCGCACTCTTCATTCTTACAACTCATAACACTTGTCGGCCCACTGCAAAGACGAGTATCCGGCAAGGTGCTGATTAGGGCTCAATGTTCCATGTAAGAACAGGACGGCGTCCCTGAGTTTTAGTGGCGTGAAAAGCGGATGTTGCGTGGCTGAGTAAGAGTTTAGCTTAGGGTGTGTCAGATCCGTTACGTGCTAATCCGACCGGCCGGTTAACACGAAAGTAACGATTCTACGAAGCTCGTTTGCAAATTTCGGCCTCTTCGCCACATCCGGCCACTTGTTGTCAGATCCGCTGGCCGTTTCAGGGGTCAAAAACAATCCGACGTGCAGTCGACTCGAAAGTCGACCAGGCTGAGCTACAGTGACCATGCGACTTTGTATGCGATAAAAGGGTACATGGTAACTTCGAAAGAGCCAATCATTGACAAACATGCGACGCCTTCGTACAATCCGGCCAAAACTCAACTGCAAATCTGACACACCCCTGTAAATCGGCCACCAAATGTGTCTGTTCTGGGGATGTGGCTGATGGGTGGTCGACTACGAAGTTGACCACGTAGTCGACTTTCGCGAAAAATTTTGTCGACAATATGGTCGACAAAAAACCAGCCAGAACAGCTTTCAGCGGATCTGACACACCCTTACACCGGGCAGATTTACTAACGATGGACTCTGGGGGAGAAACCAGCTCCTTTTTCACAAGAGAAAGAGCTCGATGCATTTAAAAACTCGAGGACGGATCCTCATGCAGCTAGGATAACCTTACCGATGGAACTAGGAACCGCAGCAGCAAATGATGCAATGCTAGCTACGAACGCGATTTCATGCGGCGGAAGCTTCAAATCTGGCCGCCAGTTCAGCGGCGAATGTGTCATTACGAACACGATTTCAAGCAGAGCCGCATGTGTCAGCCGCGACACCCGCAACGGCATTTTCCACGACAGTTTCTTCTGCAAGTGCTTTTACCCCGACAGCATCAGAATCAAAATCATTATCTGTGTCAGCATCAGCGTCAGCATCAACATCAAAATCAGAATTGAAATCAGAGTCAGCGCGCTCGTCGGCAATACCGAGGGCCGTGTTGGACCATTCTCCCGCGCACAGCCTCCCCCAGCCGCACACCGCTCCGCAGGAAAGCAGCACCGCCGTCGCCCCATCCCCAGATCCGACGCGCGGGATACTTCGCTACAAGATCGGAACTCGGTATAAGCTCAGATCTCGGTATAATCTTGGAATTACACCCAGACGACTACATTACCTTCCCGTTGCAAAATCCCCCGCCATGATGGGCAGCAGGGAGCCGTTCAAACCCAACCACCAGCACGCAGGCAGCGGCGATTGGGAAGAAACACCCATTCGGTACAGTCACATCCACAGCGTTACAAGCACGCAAGCACTGGGTGAGCAAGCTACAGGAAAGGTTACCCCAGGCGGCGGTGGTGGTGCTGCGGGTGCTGGTGGTGGTGGCGGCTGCTTGGAGCGCGTGTGCTGTGATGTTCTTCTCCCTCGTTATAATGCCCTGGCTCATGCTCCACCTCTCCTCCACCTCCCACCCGCACTTCCGCGCCCTTCGCTTCAATCACACCTTCACTGAGTCACTTTCGGCCGCTGGGGGGGAGAAGAGACAAGGGGGAGGGAAATTGGGAGGAGGCGGGAGTGTGGAGGGAGTAGGGTAAAGGGAAGATGTGGAGGGCGAAGAAATGGGAGGGCGTGTACTGATCAACACCTGATCAACCTCCTGATGAAGCACCTAGCTTTAGAACATTCATAGCACCCGGTTAAGCGTCTGATGTTGGAAGCGGCCAGGCCAGGAGCTATGCGTTTTTTAATGCCAACCCACCAGCCGATGCGACATTTTTTTTCCGAACTTCCCCTACTACAGCTCCTGACGCATCTGACGCTGTAAGGCATCTCCCCCTGTGGCACCTCCCGCTGTCGTGTCTCCCCACATGGCACTTACCCTGTCATACCTCCCTCGATCACATCAAAACTCTCCATGCCAGTACCTCTGCTACCGACAAAACTGCAGTGGCAGGTGAAGCAGCAGCAATTGTCACGCACTTGCCATTGAGTTTTCCAGTCTCGGATGCACCCTGTGTTAACATGTTACCACACCACCTTCCACTGACACATTTGCTCTCGCTGCCCCCTCTGCTGTCGCTAACCTCCTGCTCACTCTGGCCCCTCTGCCCCATCTGCACTCTCTGCTTCCTCCGCCCTTCCTGCTCCCTCTGCTCCTCTGCTTCCTTTTGCTCCCTATGCCCCTTCTGTCCCGTGTGCCCCTTGTGCTCATGTGTCACAGCATGAGTATGGGCCATCGGCTTCAGCAACAGAAACACCAGGAGCAGCAAACATCCACTGAAGTAGGAAGGAGAGTAGCAGCGGTGCCAGGGAGAGGGGAAACAACTGCAGCAGAGGAAGTGACTGTGGTGAAGCAGTAAACAGCAGGAGTAACAGCATCGTCCCTTGAACAGCTGAAGTTGCAGAGAGGAGGGGAGGGTGATGGAGGTAGAAACATAAAGTGGGGCACGGAGGGAGGCAGACAGAGAGGTTGCGGAGAGGGGAGAGGGGGAAAATTGATTGGTGGCAGAGGAAGGGGGAGAAGGGGGATAATGAGTGGTGGTAGAGGAATGAGCAAGAGGGTTGATGGACGAACAGGAGTTCAGTGGAGGATGAAAGTATGGTGGCAAAAAAAGGAAAGCGAGGGGGTTGTTGTTGGGCGAGTGGGAGCAGAGGAGAGGCGAGTGATGCCACAAAAAAGGTACGTCCCATGTGGTGCTTCTGGGCGGCGAGTACAGGTGCTGCTCAAATGACTGCGGTCAGTGCAGCGCTGCCTTGTGTTTGCCTACAGTAGGCACACCTTAGCCCACAGGAGTGTGTATGGGCTCGCTGTTAAGTCGTACGGGAGAAGTCAATTCTACAGGGGCGTGGTTGTCAAGTTCTAGAATCTAGATACAGCTTTGTCAGCAGTAGAGCTGCCAGGGATACCGGTTCTGCAGGCGGTGAGGTGGTGAGACCGTGAGAGGTAGGAGGCGAGGGGAGAAGAGGCGAGAGGAGAAGAGGATGGGAGGGGTGGAGGGGGAACCTGGGGAGGCGGTGTGCCGTGTGTGCGTGGAGAGCTTAAGGAAGGCAGCATTCGTGCCGTGTGGGCACATGCTGTGCAGCACTTGTGCTCAAGAGGTCAGGGTCAGGGGAAAGGCGCAGCAAGTACCCCAACGAGATTAATTTGATGATATTAGAACCGTAAAACTGTTCACTGCTATTGTAAGTATTCCAAGGGGACTCCACATCAAGATAACTGTTTGTGCAGTACCACACGTGAATTGAAGGCAGTAACACATATGACTGGTAATAAAGAGCTTGCATTCTAAGCAGAGCTACCGGTAATAAAATTATTGTACCCACCTACCTATCACTATGCAGGATAAAACTCGGACTGGCTGGTGATGACAGTAACGTTCACATTTGGAAGGTGACCCATAACCAGCTGTGCTGTCGGACCGTCCCTTACTCCGACCGTCTCAAGGGAAGGAAGAGTCGTCAAGCACCTAATGACACACTGGGTGTGATAATAGGAAGACCTCAACCAAATGGTTTTGAGAGATTTGAAAGAAGCGAGGTGCTTCATGCCCTGGATAGTCACATGCTCTGGCAGAGCAAGCCATGTCAGCTTTGACAGAGGTGCAAGATCGGCTAAAACCTCGTCCATAACATGCGACGAGCCAATATCCAGAGCTTCAAGGGTCGTCAGTTTCCCCACGTGCGCCACTGCAGCCGACGATATGTTGTTGCCTGGTGCAAGAACAAGGACTTTCAGAGAGCAAAGGCATGTCAGATCAGGCGTCCCGTCGGCTGAAACATTTGTACTTATCAGTTCAAGCCGACGAAGAGCTGTCAGGTTGCTGATTTTTGGAACCAGAGAATCAGTGAAATTGTGAGATTCGAGTTTCAGCTCCTCCAACCATGTCAGCTTCCCCACATGCACCATGCCAGCAGATGAGATGTTATTACCACGTGAAAGAACGAGGGCTTTGAGGGACCCAAGGCGTGACAAATGAGCCAGCCCATCATCTGAAGCACGTGTAGATACCAGTTCTAGTCGACGAAGGGCCGCCAGGTTGCTGATTCCCAGAATCACCGAGTCATCAAAATTGTCTGATTCAAGTTTCAGCTCCTCCAACCATGTCATGGTGTAGAGATGCCCCAAAGCCGCGTTGGGAACACAATAGGATAACTCGAGGCGCTTTAGGGATGTCAAGTAAGGGAGGTGAAGAAGTCCACAGTCAGTTAGTGCCTCATCTGTCCTGTCCACTTTCATAAATGACGTGTTTTGATGAGCAAGAATGATCCTCGCATCAGATCTGGTCGTTCGCTGCTGCGAAGTGACATAAATAGCCTGAAAGCATCACAATGCTTTAGAGATTAGCATTGGGAATCGGACGAAATTGCACATGATCCAAACACAAGTCTCCAACGGCCTAACCTCTCACCTCCCAGACCTTCCTCGTCTCCTCAATTTGCTGCACCCGCGTTTTTTCTGCCTGCGCCGACTGTGCTGTCAACGCCTTCACAAGATTTTCCATCTCCTTCCTTAGAGCCCGTGCTTCATCCTGAGCATCTGGTTGTTGACTGACTCGAAGCCCGAGGAATTGCCTGAAGTCGACACAACAAGAGCTGAAGAAATTAGGCACTCATGCATTTACATGCGTTTCGGCTACATTCTCCAACAAACTTCATTCGCTCACCTCCAGAATCTTGCACGTTTCTTGCGAAAGTCGCGCTATCAGTGCAGCAACCTCCTTTTCCTTCTCCTCCCTTGCAGCCCTCTCAGCTGCTAGCTCATACTTCAGTTCGGTTATGCTTTTATGCCTCTCCTCTCTCCCAGCTGCTAGCTCATCCTTCAGTTCGGTTATGCTTTTATGACTCTCCTCTCTCTCAGCTGCTAGCTCGTCCTTCAGTTCGGTTATGCTCTTGTGACTCTCCTCCCTCTCAGCTGCTAGCTCGTTCTTCAGTTCGGTTATGCTCTTGTGATTCTCCTCCCTCGCAGCTGCTAGCTCGTTCTTCAGTTCAGTAATGCTCTTAATATTCTCCGCCCTCATATCTCTCAGAAGTTTTTCCAAAATCTCAAACTTGTCAGCTAGCATCGGGCTCTCAGAGTATTCTCTTCTTTGCCGCTGTTCCGCTTCCAACTCCCTCCTGGCATCTTCGAACCGAACCGCTAATCTCGTCCCTACGCTCACAATCTCCTCCAAGAGCCTTGCGGTCGCCGACATCATTGCGAACTAGTCTCAGCCTGGCGACTAGTGGAATAACTTACACACCTTGTGTATAACTCGCTACCAAGAAATTATGAAACTAGGTTTTGACGCCAACAAACATCATGGCGCTAGGAGACCAGCAGGAATTCTCAGGGAGTTGGAGGTGGTGTTTCTGGTTATCGTTTGCTACCGTTCAGTACCGATGCACCAGACGATACTGTGGAAAATTGGGATGGAGTTGGAGAGGTGCCTGCTCTGGTTCAGGTTTTGGTTGTTTGGTACGTTTCAGCACGGTACCACTCGGTTCGGTAAAAAAACTGGGTTCCACTCCATATCGAACCATCCTGCACAAGGCGAAATGATTACTTTCTGTGCTTTCCTCGCTGCAGTTCGCAATTCGTTCGCGTACCCGCAATCGCCAAGTTTCGAAGCAATTCTTGTTACAGCTCCCAGCCATCGTCGCCATAGCTCTCAGCTCACCAACGTTTGAGCAGATTTAGTAGGCAACATCTAAATCGGTCGTTCCGCGAGACCTCTGGCAGCAGCTCTTGGCTTGTCTTCGGAAGGCCCTAGGAACACTCGAGTTTCACTGCATTTACAAACCGGGGCGCATCAAGACGTACAACTGGATTTTGGTCTGGATATGCTGTTCAGGTTGTTTAGGCAGCGGCGCAGATGGCATGGGAAAAAAATCCAGATGCGTTTTCTTACGGAATAGAGCTGGATTCGCACGGGACTGCAAGGTCGAAAGCGCAAATAGGTAGAACCTCCTTTTCGTTTGAAAGGGAATTTGCATCCGCGAACGACGTTACTCTTGCAACGGAATCTCACGGAAGCTTCAAATTCGACCGGTTCAACGGCTATAATTTCATCACGGTCGGAATATAGCAAAGCATCAGCTTCAATGGCAGACCCCCTATTGATTCATCAGCAATCGGAATTTCCCCCACAGCATCAGAATCACCGTGGTCGTCGGCAATACCGAGGGCCGTGTTGGACCATTCGCCCGCGTACAGCCTCCCCCAGCCTCACATCGCTTTGCAGGGAAGCAGCACCGCAGTCGCCCCAGCCCCCGCGATCGGACGATGGTGTCTTCCACCCCCAGCTTCGCGCCCTTCGCTTTTATCAAACCTCCGTTGAGTCACCTTTTGCCGCCGGGGGGGAGAAGTTGCAAGAAGGCGGATAAGGAGGAGGCGGAAGGTTTAATTAAGAATGGGGAGTGTGGAAGCGAGGGGGGAGGGGGGTGCGAGCTTGGGAGAGTGGATTGACAGATGGAGAGGGAGGGGTATCCGTTGAGCAGCACCGGAGCAAGTACCTGGCACAAGCCTGTCAAAGCACCTGATATTGTACCTGACTGATCCTTCATGCTGGAAGCGGGCCAGTCCTGGAGCTGTGCCAACCTCTTCCATCGCAGCTCCCCCTCTTGCAACTTTTCCTACTGCACCTCCCGCCATTGCTGCGGTACTATCCAATGTCCAACCCCTTTGCCATCGGCAAAGCTGCAGCAGCGGCAGGTAAGCAGCAGCAACCAGCGGCGCAGCAGCGATCGTTAAGGCAGCAGCAGGAGCGGCAGGCACAACAGCAGCAGCGGCAGGTAAGCAGCAGCAACCAGCGGTGCAGCAGCAATCGTTAAGGCAGCAGCAGGAGCGGCACGGCAGGCACAGCAGCGGCAGCGGCCATCCATTTGATTCTGCAAACTCGGGTGCGTCACCACATGGTCACCATGTTACCACCAGCACCATCCGCGCGTCACATCACAGGTGTCCCCTTACTCATAACACGCAGCAGGCCTTACAGCCAGCTTTACAGCCAAATCCTACTGCACACCTGCGGGGTAAGGTTGGCTGCAGCAGGCCCTTTACAGCCAACTTTACCGCCAAATTTGCTGCAGCAATCCAAGCCCTACAGCTCTTTTCCTCTTTGAGCTAGGAGTCTTTGCGTTCCACCCTACACCCTGCATTCCGTTTGTGCCCAGCCTTGCTCCAGGACCCCAATCACTCTTTCGCTCTTTCACCCGTTTGAGCAATCCCATCTGTTCAATCTGCCGGTTTCTGATCAACATCAGCAGGAGGATCTTGAGGAACAGCAGGAGCAGCAGAAAGAGTAGCAGATACAGTATCTGCTGAATCAGGAAGGTGAGAAGGTGGTTTCAGGGGCAGGGGCAATGACTGCAGCAGCATCATCTCCCATGGATGGATGAAGGGATGGAAGGATGGGCGCTGCTTTTTCCACCATGAGGTTAAGAGTCATCTGCTGAAACAGAAAGGGGAGTAGCAGTGGTGGCAGTCGCAAGGGCAACAGCTGCAGCAGCATCATCTCCCATGGATGGATGAGTGCTGTGATTTTCCCAACACAAGGCGAAGCAGCAAGCGAAAAAACCATTTCTGAGACCTTTTCAAGAAGGAGGCAGGTAGAGAAGCAACCGATGAGTGGATGAACGCGAATAGTAAAGCTTTGGGTGGAAACAGGGTGGTGGCAGAGAAAGGGAGAGAAAGGGGTCGGTGCGAGAGCGGAAGCAGAGGCAGGGAGGGAAGGGTAGAGTGGGAGCTCGGGAAATTTTGAGTTTCAAGCGTTTCCACAGGGTGGTGAGTCAATGTGCTGCCCATATCACTACCGTCGTTTCGGCTTTCCATTCGGCCACAGCAGCAGCCTTGCATTCGCTCACATAACTGCACATGGACTCCCCGTTGGGGTGTTGCATTTGAGCAACAACTTTAGTGGTGGTGGTGGTGATGGTGCGAGTGGTGGCAGTGGTGGCGGTGGCAGCATTGGTGGCGGTGATGCTGAGAATGCACAAAGAGAGGCAGCAGCAGCGGCAGCGGTCCGCGCTGCTTTCGCTGCAGTGCATGCTCTTAACCTGTTGCGAGACTCCCACCAACGAGGATGGAAATGCAGGAGATGGGGAATCCAACACCAGTACCTGAACCACCACCAGCCGCATTAGCAGCACCAGCAGTTGTATGAGCTGTTCGAGGTAGGGACAAAAAGGCGCGGTATGGCTGTAGTGTAGCAGGAGCAGGTGTGCCACTGGTAGCAGTCCTGGGAGGCCTGCCAATCCAGGTGCTCTCCAGACGAACCCAAAGCCCTGCTCTCACCCACACCCACGCTTGGGGAGGCGCATAAGGCACATCGGGTGGAGAGACCGAGGGGAGGATCAGAGGAGGAGGAAGAGGAGAGACGCAGGGGCAGGCGGGGCCAAGGAGTGGCTGGAGGATAAAGAGGGGAGAGTGAGGAGGAGCTGCGGTTGGTGAAATGAATGGAGGGGAGGAGACTGACGGTGAGGAGGTGGTGAGCTGTGTGTGCACTATGCATCGAGATGCCGAGGAGGAAGACTGGTGTGCTGCATGTGTGCCCTCTGTGCAACCGGAAGATTGAGGATGTGCTTCAAATGAACTGAAGCATACAGAACTTACTGTGGAGGTACTTTGAGCTGTATTTGCACAAAAAGTCTAAGCTGGTGTAGCTTTGAGTGTATAAAACAGAAGCACAAAATGATCACAGAAGTCCAGTGCGGGACAGGTTACAAGACAGATTATATAGGACAAGTAATAGGTCGGAGTGAAAAACAGTCTTTCATCATAAAGAAGCTGACCTAACCCAAAACACAAGTCACAAAAGCTAAACACTACCGGTATACGTCTCAGACTTGCTGAACACAGTAACATATTTTTTTTTTTAAGCGTTTTATCGCTTTCAAATTTGCGTATTGTGAAAGCGAAGCTGACTGTAACGCAATTTTGTGCATCGTCGAAGCGCGGTATTCGCCTTCTCCGAATATATAATGTGGGCTGGGGTCATTCTTCCCCCACCCACGTCTCTCATTTTACAATCGCTCAAGTTCAATTCCCAGTTCCGAGACCCATCCCGATTTTGTCGGAGGCTCCAACCCCCTCCCGATTTTTTCGGACCTCAACCTGGCGAGGGTGAAAACCCTTCCACGTTTTCATTCACCCTCGACGCTGCTGTCGGACATTCTTACCTACAATCAAGCTTCAATGGCGCCGACTGACAACGCCCCGAATCGTTCGGACAACGAGAAGAACGCCCGTGAAATTTCGGGCGATCGCCGCAACAAGCGACGGGCGGATGACGAATGTATCGCGACCACTGGCGTCGATCTTTTGACGCGCAGTGCGGAAGTCAACAAAACCGCCAACAAACAGCACCCCTCGGCGCCTGTTGCGCCTGAGGGGCCTGTGGCGCCTGTGGCGCCTGCGGTGCAAGTGGCGACCGCGGCACCTGCAGCACCCATGGCGCCACACGCGCCTGACGCCGAGCACGCGCCAGCACCTGTGGCCGGACCGTCGCGTCAGCGCCAGAGGCGCCGAACTGGGTCTTCGTCTGACGCGACGGCTGACCCTGCTTTGACTCCGCCGACGCTGACTGCTGACTGTCAGAATATTATGCTCTAGCCTGTAGTGGGGTGCTCTGTAGCGAGTACAACCCTTCTAGGGTTTGCTATTTGTATCCCCATTCTTGCTAGTTCAGTCCTCTTTTGCCTTCATTCTCTCTTGCCTAGCTAGGTCAACCCTAGCTATGGCTCCTCAGTATACCTACTATCACGACATGGTATCAGAGCTTAACGTTCCTGGCCTGTGGGCCCACTTCACTGCTTCCGCTGCTACTGCTACTCCCTGTCCGCCGCGCGCCCCGTGGTGCGCGGCGTCGAAACTAGGGTTTTCAGCCCGCCGTGCGCCCCGAGGCGCGCGGCGGTTTTCTGCCCGCCGTGCGCCCCGAGGCGCGCGGCGGTTCTCTGCCCGCCGTGTGCCCCGAGGCGCGCGACGGGTTCCTGCCCCGTCACTCGGCACGTCGCCCCCGGGAGGCGCTGCGACGGGCGACGGGGACCCGCGCGTCGCCCCCCGTCGCCCGTCGTGGCCTGCACGCGG